TAAGATTGATTGTAAATGTTGCATTAAAAAATTTTGAAAAACATTTTTCAAATTAAATATATCTGTTTTAATCGAATAAAACCAAAAAAAAAAGTATTATAAATTGTATTACATTCATACAATTGAATTAATTATATTCATTAAATCTTAGATTTAAGATGAAGAATAAATTTGAGAGTTAAATTAATTTTAACATTTAACATTTTATAATTATGACTGGAAGTGGGAAGCTGGTTTTATTATTTTTATCATAAGTCATTTTGCGATCGTAATCTCACTCTCGAATAGGTATAAAAATGGCAATAACTCCTAAAATACTAGTCCTAAAGTTGTTATCAGTCAGTATTTTATTTAATAGATCATTTTCAAATAAATAAGCTAATTAATTATGTATTTTGACATTTGAAAAAATAAAATTAACATTCTTATAAGGTATTAAAAGGAACATAAAAAATACTTAAATATTAATAATTGAATAAGATATTCACCTAAAAGCAGTGCTCGAATTGGCCAAAAATAAGTAGGGGAGCTCAACTTAACAATTTGAAAACTGCGTCCCTAGCATTTTGAAAACCTTTTTTTTTTTTTTACTCATTACTTTATTTAGTATTTATTAATAAATCATATTTCATTATCATACTAATATTAAAAAAAAAAAAAAAGAGGTGGTATTTTCCACCGTCCTCCCGTCACAATAAAAAAAAGTAGTTGGGGTGCGCAAAAAAATTTTAAAAAAAGTAGAGGAGCTACGTCCCCCTGCGCACTCCCCCAATTCGAGCACTGCCTAAAAGAAACATAATAAATCAAAATAAACAACATAATTTCTATTTTTCAATTAATTATGTAGTTCATAATAAGTGGATCATTCAGTATAAGAAACTACTTCTTTATGAAACTCTCTCTTAAAGAAAGATTGTGCTTTTTAAATTGTATAATTTTACATAATCTCTTAACTATAAATTCTTACAGATAAGAATAAAAATATATGAATATGATTTATTTACCTATTAAACGCAGTATGATGCTCTCAAAAACTCATAATAGAAACCATAATTCTTTAACACATTAATTTTTTGATCTTTCAATGATTTGATAAACAATTAATCAATACATCACTAGTAATTTAACACAGACAAAAGCAAAAACGTTAAAAACATATACTAGATTTAAATTTTTTTAAACTTGTTGATATTTGGTAAGTGGTTTGCTGGAAATATTCAGCATACCGAATTTTAAAAGATCTATGAGATGATTAGTTAATATACTCTTTGGTCAAAGTACAGATTCAATACATTATTACAAAACATCAACAGTTATAAAACCACAGTCGTTGATAACAAAATTGCATATTTTATTCCGGCAATCTTATTTAAGGTACTTTATGTTCTGTTATAAAACTGTGTGAATAAAAAATGGAAATATACCATATGGTATATTACATCAATAAGAATGACTAATAACATTTTCATTTTCGATTTTTGTACTATATTTTCATATTTTAAAAACAATCATTTGTTTAATTCGTAAATATTGCTTACTCAGTAAAAATTATACGAAGATATAACAATTTTAACTAAAGATAAATATGAAAATAATTTTAAATTGTAAAAAAGAAATTTTTTTTTACATTTTCATCAAGCATGTGATAAAATTTCTAAAGTATATTTACGTTTGTTATAAGTTATAATAATATAACGAAAAATAATTATTTTTAAGCGCTACATTATACAGAATGTTCAGTAAATAAGAAAACAGGTCAATTGTTATCAACAATGAGAACAATAGAAATCCGTTTCCTTACTGAACACTCTATATATAATTTATTATAGCAGTTAAAAAAATTGTCTACTGTTATATTAATATTCTTTATTTGGGTATAAATGCAGTTTAGATCCCACAGGATTTTTTTAAAATTAATTTGTTTTTTTATACTGATTAAAAATATGCAAAAATAAAATGTCTGTAAAAAATATTTTTAAATTTGCACATAACGCTGTTATTACGCCTCTCACACCTGTGGCGGTTACCACTTATTGGGTCACTGTACCCTTTCAGTCCAACGGGTTTAATCCGAATAGGTTGGAATTGGGCTAGAGTTCTTTTTTATGAGGGATTAAAGGCAAAGCATTCATCCAATGAGAGTCCCGCTGAATCGTAATCGGTCACCGAAGCCGACAGATAACAAATTTTGTTCTAACGAATAATATTTGTTTGCAAAATACACGTTATTATGAAAAATTGGACTTAAAGACAAAAGCGGAAGAGTATATGTTTCCAAATTTATAAACTTAGTTATAGTTACACTCAATTTGAGCACTTTACTTTTATAAATCATCGGCAAAAACTACATTAGGAAAAATGCTAATGGAATGCGCGTGGCGTGATAACAGCGTTGTATGCAAACTACAATGTGCTTTAAATTTTTAAATACTTTTGACCGACATTTTATTTTTACATATCAGTATTGTAATCAGTGTAAAAAAAATAAATTGATTAAAAGAAAAATCGAAAAATACTTGTAAGCGCTAAACTGCATTTGTTCCATTACTTGCGTTAGAAATTCTGCTTAAATAAAAATTACTTAAATTTTTTTTTAACTTCATGATGTAATTAATAAAAATTTAGATTTTATTTCATTGTCAGGAATACAGCTTTAATTTTACTTACCAATGCCGCGGAATTTAGCCGCAATACAATGCAATGCGGTGGTACGCAGAACAAGCGTTTAAACCTATTTTGACGTTTTGTGAATGTAATTTTATTATTTTTTTTTGCAAAATGCTCACCGATGACCTGTCAGACCCTCCACGTAGTAGTGTTGTGTCCTTTTTATACTATTCAATAACTAGTATAATACATATTTATATATATGTTTATGTTATACATATACTAACCTGTATACACATAAAAATTTAATACCACGAGTCACAGAGCCATTGTGAATTTTGTACACATTGTTGATTGTTGTTGTTATTACAGTAGGCCCAGGCTAAAAAGGAAACCGCACGGCACGACGACATCCTCTTTCTGTGTATAAGCGCGAAAGAAACGCCATTGCCAGCAATAGAACCGCCACCGCCATTTAAAGGGGGCTCTAAACAGCCAAAATAATAATAATATACCGCAATATGTGCAAAACACCGAACCTATTGGACCAGTGTTTGTGTAGGCGATTTAATTTCTATTACATTTTTCCTTAAGAAATTGATCGCTCTACCTTTTTGATCTGAATTTTTCAGCTTGATTTGACACATTGTGGTAACTATATATGATCTACGATAAAAGAATTTATAGCATGTGATTTCATAAATCTTATTTCCTCGATATTCGCCAAATTCTAAAGAAATTGTTTTAAAGATTAATAATTGTAGTCTGTTTTTATTTCTTTTACAATTGTTATTATAACGTATATGAACGTAGTTTTTTTAAAAATAACAACAATACAATAACTCTTATTTAAAAATTTAGTATGGCAGAATTCAACAATTTATATTAAATTATAAGAATTCATGAGTTTATAGATCTTTATTAAATTCTCTATGAAGGACCATGTTTATGGAAATAAATTATACCTTATTAAATACAGGTAATCATTTTTTTTTTTTTTTAATTACTGAATGGAGTAAAAGCTTTTTTAGTTTGAAATTAAGTATTGTAACTTATCTATTCAGGGTAAAATGTAAGGATTTTACGCTAGTTCAACGGGATTACAATTTACTTGTCAACAAATAATTACAGTGAATTTGAACACACTATTATATTAGTGTCATAGAAAAATTCTTATATTTCTATTATATAGAAAAATCAAATACAATACTTGCGTGGGACCCTGAATCCATTATACACATTTTTCTAATTAATAAATAAAATAATGATAAAAAAACATTTATCAAGTCCGGGACTGGGATGTTGTTTTTTTTTTTATTTAAGAAAACCTGAATGTGTAGTAGTAGGCAACTACATTGGCACATGTATTAGAGATCTATCTAAGATGAGGCCTAAACATCCTTACTCGGCTATATCTCCTTGAAAAAGCGTATTATGTCGGGATGCACCTTATGAAGTTTTATTTCGTTGTGCTGAGTCCTTTTAAGGAAAGTTTACTCACTTTTTAAAATTTTGATACTATATCATTAAAAAAATATAATAAAATTAAGTAATAGTTTTTATAATATTATTATATTATAACAAAACTGTAGCTCAACCAGGATGATTCGGTTTCAGACCACCGTGGAAATATAATCATAGGAAAGGGTTTAGAATAGAAATGTAAGGTTCAATTTCTACACTATTTTTTTATTTTAAAAGCTATGCGGATTTCCCCGTACAAAATTTCTAATTGCAACACAGTTCAAAATGATAAATATTTTTTATAGATAAAATAAATTGTGCCAGATTGATATAATTTCATTTTCAAAAAAATTAAATACCTGTTAACAAAATTGTACTATTTTTTTTTAGCTTCGATACAAAGCTCGGAACTTATTAATTTTATTAAGTATTTTTTAATTTATATCACATTGTATCCGCTTTAATTCAATATATTTTAAAAGAGATCAGGATTTTTAGAATGTTGTCATAAAAGAAAAAACTTTTTGACATGACTATAACTATATTCAAACATCAATTTAACTAATGTTATTACTTAAATTTTCAGAAAAATATGATAAAAAAGTGTATTGTCTAGACTATAGAGTATAATCTATACAAATTCATGTTGGTCCTTGCATACATCTGAATGGTCGATTTTGATGTTTTAAAATATCAGTATCAACAATTGCTACTTTTTTTTTTAGGAACTTTGACTAAAAAAGTAAACATATGTGGGAATTTTTTCATCTAGGTATAATTCGAGATCATTTGATGTATTGATTATTAATATTAGTCCAACAGAAGTTGAATATTAATGAGCCAGACACAATAATAAAAATATTGTGATGAAATTATTAAACTAAAATTTCATTTGAAGAAGGATTTTAAAAAAAAAAGATTCCTTCAGCTATTCAATACAATAAACTTTACTTAATATCGAAAATATGAATTTAAAATTTTTCGAAAGATACATTAAACTCTTATTTACATGTTGAGTTGTCAATGTGTACATAATAAGTCTATACTCCCTATCGCCTCTGTAAAATATAAAAGAATAGAGGTTCTATTCCATCTTGGAGTTGATAGATTTGTTAGGGCTTTGCAAAACCTAGCGACAATGCTGAATCAATATACACATTTTTGTATGAGATTATTAAAACAAAAGAAAATATATAAGGAATTTATTGTATTTTGTTAATTTTTGACTCTTAATCAATTTTTACTAAAATTGTGTGACGGAAAAAAAATATATTTTTTAAATTATGTTCAGAAATATTTAGATTTAATATATATATATACATGTATGTGTGTGTTTGTGTGTAAAAATAATGATAAATGTATAATTAATATGATGTTATAAAAAAAAAATTGTGGTAATATTTTAATATGGCGCTATTCCATTCTTATACAATTGTTTTTTATTCTAAGATTAATTTCAAAAGCTTTAGGATTTGTAATATCAGCAACTAATAATTTACTTCCATCTGATATTCCTAATTGTTCTAATGTCATTTTTAAGTTAGGTCTAGTTTTCATCTCTATACTAGGAACATTTGGCATATACAGAGTTTTCCTTTTATTATCAATTTCTATTGTTAAAGCTGGATCTCTCATTTGATATAATGAATGTTCACGAAGTATTTCAATTACTCGTTCTAGACGTATATTTGTATCTTCTATATCTAAATATTTTGATGCTGTAGGCCAGCAAGTAATGCAGTCAGTTTTACGTTCTGCTTCATAAGTGTATGTATAAATACCATCAGCATCATTAAACACTGCATAGTTATTTAATAAAGAACAACAACTTGTAGCTACTTTAAAAGCCTCTGTGGCACAAGCTGCAGCTATTACAGCATTCGTTGATGCAACTGCAGGTATAATATTTTTAATTACACCTTGAACCAATCGATAATTTACCCCACTTATACCTTAAAAGTAAAAACTTAATGTAAGATTTTCTTTTATAAACTAATCAAATTAAATTAAATACCAAATTGATCAGATCGTTCCAATGACTTTTCATAGATCCAACTTATATGAGCAGGATCATCAGTATCAATATTGCTATCAAATGGATTTTCTTTAGGCCATTGAATTAGTTTTACATACTCAATACAATGTTCTGGAAGTCTTGGTGTACTTGCTATTGTACATAACGGATAAGTAACCTATAATATTAAACATTTTTATATTTTTTACATTATTTTGGGTAGATAATTATAAATATCTAATTATCAAATAATTATTTGGTAATAATATAAATACTAAAATTAAAAATTAAATTAATCATAAAAATTATTAAAAAAATTAGAAATTTATTTTAAAAAACGGTAGCACAGTGGAGTCACGGCACAGTATTAAAGTGGCATAGTTGGGACAAGAATAGATGATATCTGACAGTGATTAAAATCACTATCACAAGAAACGCTTTGATGCAAATCTGTAGATAGTGATCAATTTTAAGAAATTGGTAATTATATCAAAAGCAACAATAACTCTTATTCCCTTAATTTTGTCCCGATTAGTTATTTGATTTATAATTTTAATATATGAATAAATAATAATGTAATAATTAAATTTAGTATGAAATTGATATTTTGAATATAATTTAATATTATAATTTGTACGGAGATATTATAAAAATAATAAAGTAGTTGCATATTTTTTTACTTTTAACGCTTATAAAAATTTAAAGGGCTTGATGCAATACTTTTCAATAAAAAATGTTTGTTACTTATATCAAAGTTATAAGTTTTATATACTAGACTATAAAGAACTTTCATCAGATACAAAAATATACTATTCTAAATCAACTTTTCATGATGTTTTCATATGTGCTTTTTCTATCACTTTTAAGTTTTAATATTATTACTTATTATTAAAAAATAAGTATTTACATATAAAAAAAAAATAATTAAGAATAAAAAAAAAAATGTTTTAAACTAATATTGATTTTGATTATTAATATGTTAAAAATAAGAAGAATGACATATTTAACTTATTTTTTTTAATCCTTTAAAGTTGATTTTTGTGAAAGTTTATAATAAAAAAAAAAAATGAATTTATTATTACCATAACTTTTAGCTCAATTTGCAAGACTGAAATTGACATCATTAAGATTAATATGTAGTCAGCAAATTTTATAATTACTATTTATAGTAAATGTATCAGAAAAGCACAATATTTTTTTTGCATTTTTATTGTAGTATATAATTTAAATAGAAATAATAATAATCATTTCCTAGTAACTTTTGGTGTTTAAAAGATTTTACAATTGAAATATGAACTGAATTAATTTTCATGATTTACTTTAACTAAAAAAACCAATAAAAAAAAAGTTGTTAAAAAGATCTACTCAATAGAGTGTATTATAATATTTCATTATAATTGTAAAAATCCATCGTTAATTTAGAAGAAACTAACAATCATTTTTTTTTAGAAATGATTTATGTAGCAACATGTTATAAAAAATGTAGAATATTATAGTCTAATAGTAGCACACACAAATAGAGTAAAAAATTATTAAATTACAAAGTAAAGTGATTTAATTTTGTAGTTGAAACCTATCATATCAAACTTGATTCGTCAATAAATACTTTGAAAACATTAGAAATGTATGATTTTAATTGTCTGTATGGAAAACATGGGATAAGTAACTGTTTAATTGATAAATTAGAATTTTTTTTCAATTTTTGAGGGTAATATCTTTAACTAGATACGAATTGTAATCATTTGACGTATCGTTGAAAATAGTCAAGTTGGAGCAGAGAAAATAAATAATAGTTACAAAAAAATACCTTCTCAGCTTTGCATCAAAGCTAAAACCTAAAATATAGTAAAATAATTTTAAAATGAATAAGAAATTTCTTCTCATGAGGGGTGACTACAGTGATGGGATCCTTGATTTTTATTGAATCTAAATAAAATAAAAATCAAAGGAGTTGAACATTTATTCTAAACTAAAAATAATTAAGAAAAAAATTCCTTGTCATACGCGGGTTGGAACCTTGTAACCCAATCCCATAAGACACAAGTTTTACTGACTCCACAACATACGTCGCTTCCGTCGACTGAAAAAAATGGCAATTTAAGCTAGTTTAAACTTCAAAGTTATTTTTCTCGACTTAAAAAAAGCAATAAAATTTAAATAAGTTTAACTTTCTTTGCTATATCAATTTGATTTATATATTTATGAAAATCAGTGTATTCCCCTATACACATGTTTAAAGTTTTGACCCCCCTTGTATAAAGGGGTATAAACCGATTTAAAAAAAAAGTGTCAGATGGAAGGGGTATATAAAAATTATTTATAAAAAAATAATAATATTGATCCATACATTTTTCCAAAAGCTATAGCAAAATAAATTTAAAAATATAAAATCGAGAATTTTTTCACGGAAATCGTAAGTTTTTCTTTAACTTTAGTATCCGTTTTCACCACGATGACAAGTCCAGAGGTCAAATTTATTTTTTTCAAATTAAAGTATATTATATAAGCTTTAATTTAAGGTATATATAAAAATGTCAGTTTTTCCGAAACATTTTCAAAAGTTAAGCTGAAAAAGTTGCCATTTTGAATCCCTTCCTGTGAGCTGGTATAAAGTCAATTTTTTATTATTGTTCATCAAAATCGGTCCATCGTGAGCTGAGATTGAGCATTCATAGACACAAAAAAAAAAAAAATAAATAAATAAAAAAACACATCATAGTAAAATTAATACCTTCTCAGCTTCGCATCGAAGCTAAAATCTGTGAATAACTAATGAGCTCAACTAAAGAAACTTAGTTTCTTCAAAAATTTAGAATTTTTATATGTTGTTATACAAAGTATTTTTTAGTGTGAGGAGAAAAACAATTGATAACTTCAAAAATTGTAATGTAGTTGCGTCTATGGAATGAATTGAAAATTATAATTTGTGTAGAACAGACAAATGTTTTTTCTCTATAGAAAAATCGGAAAATTAAACCACTAGAGGTCAGTTGTAGTTATATCTTAATAATGTTATCTACATCACAATTAATCCCGATAACATTGATACAACTAACCCATGAGAAATGAAATGAGTTGTAATTATTTTGTGTTTTAAAAATCATGGAATTATGATCTACTAAAATAAGGAAAAATACATAATTCGTAATAATAATAAAAAATAATTGCAATTTTGACAAATACAAAATTAAAAAGATAAAAGAAAATGTCTACTAGATGGTAAGTTAATTGTCATAAAATACAAATAATATAAGTAGAATATTATAAATTCAAATAGATAAATTTAAGTAATATAATGATTGATTAAGTGGCTTAATGTTATAAGTTTGTATTGAATGACATAAAATAATTATTTTTAGGTATCCAATTTATCAACAAGGCAATCCTCAATTGCGTGTGTTTTTGCCAAATTTTTGGATGAAATTGTTAAAACCCCAAGAAAAGCAACCAAAAAATGTTGTACAATTTGCAGTACCAACAGGGATGACCAATCATGATATAAAAAATTATTTAGAAAAAATATATAAAGTTACTGTTATAGACGTACAATCTGATATTGAAAATGGTAAATATAATGAAAAAACACTTGTAAATATCAAAAGTTTTTGCAATATTATTTTTCAATTATACTTTAGGTAGCATTATATAAATAGTGTTCGAAGTGTTTGATTTTATAGCTATTGTATAATAAAATAGTTTAATTACAATTTAGGTACCATCAGAAGAGCAATAAGGCAAAAATATGGACCCATTGTAAAAGATGATGATTTTAGAAGAGCTTATGTTACATTGGTAAAGACTATGAGTATACTAGAAAATATAAATTATATTTTGAAATGTTCTAAATTTATAACATACTAGATATATTATGATAACAATTCTATCATTTTGATGAAATATATTATATATATGCAGCACATTGTAACATATTTATGATTATTACTTTAATATAATTTTCTAAATTATAAGATACATTATATTATTTGGAGTGTACAGAAGAAAAATGGTAGCAATCCATTTTTTTAATATTGATTTAATGATTTGATTGATAGTGTAACAGCTGTAGATTCAAGTTATAATTTGTTAATACATTTAGTAAAAAATATTTTCCTTTCGCTAGTATTAGAGTTTCTATTTTTGTTTTATTATTATACAATAAAAATGTATTATTTATTTATGCTCTACTTACTAATTTACAAAAATTAATTGCTACCGTTTTATCTGTACCATTCATTTAGATAAAGATATATGGTTTAAAATTTTTATGTTTTGTTTTAAGTTTCTCATTTTTTGTAACAATGTTATAGTTTGAACATCCTATATAACATCATATAGATAAAAGTATTTAAGCAAAATTTTATTAACTTAAATAGTTTGTAATCCCTTTTTCTTTTTATAGCCTCGTAATCAAGAATTTGAATTTCCTGAAGTATGTGTCAGTGAAGAAAGTAAAAAACGACATGATGATGATGAGAATTCAAGTAAAATGACACGGGATATGTATAAAGATTATCTTAAGAAAAATAAGGACCGACCAGGTTTTCCTGGGTGGTTTTCTTTTTAGTTATTACATAAAATCTTATATGTAAAGTTATTATAATGTTTCAAAGATTAAATTAGAATTATTATGTAGTAAAATATTTATTTTAATATAAATTTATAACTTGATTGATGAAAACAAACATATTACTGTTAACATGTGTAAGATCAAGTAAAATTTTTTTCATTTACATTATAAATGTACTGTTAATTTTTAAATTTGAGACGTAATTCACAAAACAAATGTATTTGAAAATATGTCAAATAATCTCTTGATACATTTAAATTATAATATTTTGGAATTTAAGAACTTTTGATGTCAGGTCACTGATTTATATATATTTAAAAATATCAATTGCTAATATAATTTAAACTCTTACATTTTTTATAATTAAGCATATCAAAGTTATATTAAAAAACTCAATTTAGCTTGTGCTCAAAATGTAGGAGGTATAAATTCATACCATAAATGGAATTTCACCTACATGATATTTAGGTAGCAAAACTTAAGTTTGCCTAGAAGTGATTAAACACACTTAAGCAAAATATTTAAATTATTATTTTTAAAACTATTATATCATAATACAATCATAAGACATTAAAAAAGATAATAATAATAATAACAATTAGTCCTAATGAAATGAAGAGAATAATATTATTTAAAATTATATACATCTGAAATATTTTAAGCTTGTCAGGAGAATTAAATAATGATTGCTGCCTGGACCCTCTAAAATTTTTATGTTTGATCCTACTATAGCCAAACAGTCAGAAAAGTAATATCTAAAAATGTGTTCAATTATAATTGTTATTAATTTATGAACAACACAAAGGTAGTGTTTGTTGTTATGCCATAGAAAAAGTGCACTATGTAAAAGAGAAACTATGATAAAATCAAACTTCTAAATTTATATTCTAACTATTCATGCCTATTTTCTATGTTTACCATGTTATAAATAATATTTTTAGCTTCGATGCGAAGCTGAGAAGGTATTGGTTTTACTTGATGTGTTTTTTTTTTTTTTTTTTTTCTGTTACCACTTTCTCAGCTCTCACCGAACCGATTTCTTTCAATGATACGTCAAAAGATCACAAATCGTATCTAGTCGAAGACATTACCCTTAAAAATTGAAAAAAATTCCCTCGTTCCCCGTAAATGGGGGAAACCTCCAAAATAATTACAAATTTAAAAATTGCTAATTTTTGAAATTTTTTTTACTAAAATGTGCCGTAACTTTTTCAAAAATGAACATATCAATATAATTTTTTTTTTTATAGATGCTTGATGTTTTTACCTATCATTTGATATATTTTTTTTTGTAAATTTGACCCTTTATCTGCCCACAGAGGATGATTTAAAATGACAACTTTTTCACAAAAAATTTACTTTTTCAACTTAACTTTTGAAAATGTTCCGGAAGGTCTGACACTGTTATATATATCTTAAATTAATGCTAATATAATATACTTTAATTTAAAAAAAAAAATTTGACCTCTGGACTTGTCTTCATGGTGAAAATGATGACCAAATGTTATTTTTGTGTGAAAATTCTTGATTTTATATTTAAAATTGTTTACTTTATAATGCTATAACTTATTGAAAAGTGTATGGATCCACACAATTTTTTTATGAGAAGTAATATTTTTTAATAAACTCTTTTTCATTTACATACTTTATCTTAATCGAGATATTAATAAGGAACCAGCAGATCATGTAGCTTTTGGAATAAAACACCAATTTTTTTAAAATTAAACACTATCTAAAGATTTGCATCGAAGCGTTTATTTTTGATAGTGATTTTAATCATTGTCAGATATCATTATACTTGATCCAACTATACCATGGCACCACTATGCCGCGACCCCCCTGTGCTGGGTTTTTTTCTAACCTGACCATATGATCATAAAATGTAAACATATTTATTTGTTGTACTCATTTTCCCATGAATTTTCGGAAAATAGTACAAAAAAAATCCAGTAGCGGTCAAATTATTTTACCATAGAAAGGGATGAAAAATTTTCAAGGGTACTGTAATCTTTTATTTCCGAGCTTTTTATTTATGTTAACTTTTTTAGGATGTTATTGTGAACTATTGAATATTTATAAAAAGTTTTTTCTTACTAAGTTTCCAAAATATAAAATATGTAAATTATATAAAAATGTCAAAGGGTATGGGGGAGATCTATCTTCAATCCTAATATAACCTACACTGTAAAAAGCATATAGATAATTGTGAATTTATAATTAATAATTTTTAATTAGTATTGTTTTAGGTCTCTAGAATCAATGCTAAACATTTTATTATTTATTAATAATAGTTTGGTACTAATCTTAAAAATATCACTTAAAGAATAGAGTGAGTAAATTAAATGCTCTTTTTGAAATGATAGTTTATGATTTTTAAATATTTGGGTTCAGAACAATTAACCTTTGTCTTTTCACTTTAAATTTTTTTGAGGATTAATAAATCCTTAAATTTAAAAATAGGATTCCACATTTTATTATATTTGATGATTATAGATTGATTATTCTGGTATTTACCTGAGGTGGGAATAAATCCAAAGTGCAGTCTATACAAGGAGTTATTCCTGGTAAAATTACACGTACATTGCCTTTGAACCCTTCAGTACCTCCATCAATTAATGGTATTACAGTAGTGTTATCAAGCTGTTGATTTTCATCATATGCTAATAAGGAAACTAACATTCCATTTATCCATCTACGAGCAACAACAGAATCTAAGCCGCAAACTACCAAATGAAATTGCTTATAAAAATCTTCATTTTTATCTTGTATTTTGCAATGATGGGGTGTTACACTGCAAGTAGGCACTCTCTCATTTATAAACCTTGCTGCAACTTCAGCTTTAGAACTATTAACATCATTCTTACGAAACAAAAATTGGCGATTTAAATTGGACAGGTCTATTGTATCCATATCAATAACGTGTATATCGCCAAAACCCATCATAGCAAGATCTTTAAGTAATTCACAACCTAAACCACCTGCGCCGATAACGAGTAACTTGCAAGAGTTTTGAAGGAAGTCTAGAATTCCAGTACCCGGTTCAAAATCAGGATGACAAAAAGGACTAGACCGTTCCAAAATTTTTTTAAGATGACTCCATCGACGATTCTCATAATCAGTCATTATGAATTAAATAATAAATAAAATAAAAGAGCAAATGACTAGAAAATTAAACAATATTTTTCTATTTATAAAATTAATTATATTACATAAATTTAAGTACGAACGATAATTAAGTTTAATATACTATCACAGAATTTAAATAATACCGATAGTATATTATATTTCAAAACTTTATAGCGAATGAATTGTATCACTAGATCGCGCTACTAAGTCCAAAGAATACCCCATATTATTTCATTTCATGTTTATCATTATATTTTCATAATAATAACTCTTTAAAATAGCTGATGGAGAATTAGGAAAACCTTGGCAAAATTAACTTTTATATAATTAGATTTCACAGGTAATAATTTTATTCGCCGTGAAATCAGTATTGTTTTAATTTTTAGTAATTTAATAGTTAATTTTTTTCTTGCTAATTTAAATTAATTCTAAAACTTTACAAAATGTATGCAAGTGTTTTATCCCGTAATTTTTCAACGTCTATTACTCGAGCTGCTATCAAAAATGTAGTAGTTGTTGGTGGTGGATTAATGGGTTCTGGAATTGCTCAAGTATCTGCTCAAAGTGGACACAATGTTACAATTGTTGAAATTAGTAAAGAACTGTTAAATAAAACAGAAAAAAGTATTCAAGGAAGCTTGCAGAGGGTTGCTAAAAAAATGTACAATGATAAGCCTCAAGACGGAGAGAAATTTGTTGAAGAAACATTATCACGTATTAGCTCATCTACAAATTTACCTGATGTTGTTCAAGATTCTGATTTAGTATTGGAAGCAATTGTTGAAAATTTATCTTTAAAACATAAATTATTTCAATCAATTGATAGTGTTGCACCATCTAAGACAATATTTGCTTCAAATACATCATCTTTGTCAATTGGTGAAATTGCATCTGTCACAAATAGAAAAGATAGATTTGCAGGTTTACATTTTTTCAATCCAGTTCCAGTAATGAAATTATTAGAGGTTGTTAGAATTCCTGAAACATCAGATGAAACCTATCAATTATTAATGGCTTGGGCTAAAACAATTGGAAAAACTGCGATTACATGTAAAGATACACCTGGATTTGTTGTCAACAGATTATTAGTTCCATTATTAGTTGAAGCTATTAGAATGATGGAAAGAGGTGATGCTTCAGCTAGAGATATTGATATTGCTATGAAATTAGGAGCTGGACATCCAATGGGACCAATTGAATTAGCAGATTATGTCGGACATGATACAACCAATTCCATTTTGAATGGATGGCACAAAAAATATCCAGAAAATCCATTATTTAATCCATGTCCATCCTTACAAAAACTAGTAGATGAGAAAAAATTAGGAGTTAAAACTGGTGAAGGCTTTTACAGTTATAAAAAATAAATATACTTATATTTAAAAAAATTGAATTTTTACAGTATACTACAGCTTATATAAACTGGAATGAATTATTTTTTGTGTTAATATGGATAAATACTTTTTATAATTAAAAAAATACATTTTAATAAACTTATTATTGGAGAAAACTTTATTTTATTTAGTACATAGATGAAATATCTCTTATAATTTATAGTATACACATTAATTTAGTTTTATAAAATTAGTAAATGAAATAGTTGGACTAGCTCACCATCAGGTATATTCTCAATCAGTTACAATTTCAAAATTGTTTTTCTCAGGGGAATCTTAATATCTACTTCTCACCACCCTACTATTCAAGCTATGACCAGATAAAAATATCAGCATTAGTGAAATTTTTTTTCAAGGTACATACATTCATACAATTTTAAATATGACTTGGTTGCTGTTTTCTTTTTAAATTATGAGCTCTCAACAGTAATCAAAATTAACACCTTATTTGTTTGCAAATACACCATTATTAAACATTAAAATACTCACGACACCACTATATGTGTATCAAATTACCAAATTCATTAACAAAAAAATACAGAAATGTTATAAAACTTTGTTTAAACTAAGAAAATTCAAATAGATTAATATTAGAAAATTATTTAATTTTGATATGTAAAAATAAGTAGAAAATAAATAGTTTGTTGTACCTCTATACTAAAGCATATTTAAAAAAAATATCCTAAGCTATAAAAATAGTTAATATAGATAGTCAAATATAGAGGGGATTCTGTAATCATGAACCCCTTAATTAATTGAATAATAAAATTAATATTCATGTTTTGTCATTTTCTTTTAGTTATATACTTTTCTCCATTTATCATGAAATATTTTTTATTTTATCCCTTTTAAGTGTGCCAACTTAATTTTTTGAACGGCAACATATATATTGAATTAGTTTAAATAATGAAAAATTATATATAAGATAATTATTTAGGTCATTTAAAACTTGAACTAATACTTAAAAAATTATGAATATTTTTATACCTAGATGGGGGAGTGACGCTGAAAAATGTCTAATGATATTAATGGCAGCACTAGTTTCTCACCTCTAGTCATTACTTTAAGTTATTAAAAACAGAAATATTGGTTTAAATATTGCTATTGCCCATCATATTCTCAATCAGATCGTTTTTATTTTATAAACCAGTTATATATGTATATTGCAATTAAAAAAAAGAAGTAGTCACTCTTATTCATAATCCATTAATTATTTATTGATTTTCAAACTTTCAAAGAGTAGTATTAAATATTTGAACATATTAATAATCTTACTAAAATAAAATATTTGGATAGATAACATCAAGCTAGCATAACTGTCTCATAAAGTAATTCAAAAATCTTTAGGAAAACCTTCAAAAAAAAATTAATAGACAATAAATAACACACGTATTTTAATCGGTTTGACTGTTTATTTATTATATATATATTTTACAAAATGTCAAGAAATATAAACAATTATTTCTTATAACTGTGAAAAAAGCATAATTAATTCACTTTTAAGTATTAAAGCATAGTTAAAATGAAGTAACATAACCATTTAACAATGACATAAATATATTTATACATACAAAAAAGTGTACAAATATTATCTTTCATATACAACTAAAAAAATTACATTATGCTAGCTATGTGAAGAATTATGTGGAGATAAAGTTTTACCAAAAAAATTAAATTTTGAAATAGATGCCTACTTTTATCTAAACATTTAACTAAATCCTTTATAATAACAACAATGAAGCTCCTCAAAAAAATATAGTATAAAATTTAGGAATATCAATGGTAAAATTAAAACAATATAACATGTAATCAATGTTTTCAAAGTTATTAAAAAAAGTATAGAGAGGATGATAAAAATCTAAACCAAATTAATTTTCTTTAATTTTACATATAAATATAAAAATTTACATTCATCACTCTAGAAGGAAATACATAGTAATTATTAAACTATTGTTTTATTTAAGTTATTAAATGTAACACTCAACCTAAAATATATTATTCTCAGAAAATTAACATTATATTTAAAATAATATAGGAATAAAAAACATTATACGGATTATCATAATTATTTTAAATAATACATTTTTTACTTAATATTCCTGATTAATGAATAAATAATAATGAATTTTTTTTTAATATATATATATATTTATTTTAAATAAATCATAATTTTTTTTAATTGAGCTTTAAATATTTAAAAAATTCAATATTAAAATTAATTTTATTTAGTGTGTACAAAAATATTGTTTAGTTAAAGATAAATAAGTTTTCTACATTTTTTTTAGACAATTTTCATTATTATTAATTAAATATATTCACAGGGTGTAAGAGTATAAAAATAAATTAATGATATTTAGCATTATATTAAGAAGGTGGAATTATATTTGTTGATGTAAATCATAAAACTGTAGGAAAGTAAAATTCAATTTAACATTTTGAGTACTGTTTATAAATGTAAGATATATTTTATGAAAATGTCTATATTTATCATTAGCTAAGTATTTTAAGTCAAAAGAATTAATAAAATAATTTAAAATAAAATATTGTAGACTTTGTTTGATAGAAAAATAAATCTATTCTTGGTTAAAACTATTTATATTAGCCACTAATTGAATGATACAATAGCAATTAAAATTTAACAGAATTTAAATTTTGTATCAATTACTGATTAACTTCTGAATGTAATAACGCAGACCACTTTTTTAATATATAAGTATCATCCACCTTCCAGCTTTACATGCATATATTATTTATTTACTCTAATATTCTTATACCCTGTACAGCTACTTAAAAATTAGTTTGAAAATTTTAATTTAAAATTTACACATAAATAAAAATAAGTTGTAAGAGTAACATTAACTTAAAAATGAATATGAAATTATAAACAACTTGCCATAAAGAAAAACAAAAATCTGGTTTTATATTGATACTTAACAGTTAAAATTACATTATAATATCTATCAAGATCAAACAAAAGTGTATTAAACATAGTCAATGGAAAAGATTATTTTTTCCTTTTAATAAAAGGAAAAACAATTAGTTAAAAGTCTTTGACAAATTAATATCAAAATAATAAAGAGTTAAAAATTCACTCAATGATAATATCGTAAATTACAATAAGTTTATCATTAGTCTAATGTTTAACAAAAGTATATTTATAAAAATATAATGGCATATAACATTACGTTATATTAATATAACATTTATTAATTAATAATAAATTAAAATATTAGTGTGGTACACGTCAAATTAAAAATGTTCAATAGAACAATATATTTTAAAAATATATATGTTAAAAGTTATACTTACAATTTGTTCCACTTAAAATAACAATTATAATAAAACACACTTAAAAATGTTTACTCATCATCTAACTTTCTTTTCTTCCCTCTTGTGTCTTGTGAATCTATAAGACAAGTGTAAAGGAATTAATAAATATGGGGAAAAAAACCTATTATAAATAATAATATAAATTAATATTTTTTCTAAAAAACTATGATGTCATTTGTAAAATCTAATATGTAAAAGTTTTTTTATACTAGTAGAATATTTAACTGCATTCGCCATGCCCAACAAATCAAGCAGTAGTAACTCAAAAAACTTAACTTTAAGATTATAAGGTATTTTGATTTAGGTCCTACTTTTCTTTTAATAACTTTCATTGACACATTTTATTTGAATCAGAATTAAATTACTTAGAAAATTGACAAACATTTAGAGTATTATTAGAAAATTTTTTTTATTTTTGATCTCCTGAAAAGTAAGAAAAAGTGAGTTACTACCTTATTCATTAAGCATATCGATATATTGAGTGTTACTACATATTAATATAGGCATCCGCAAGGGGAGAAATAAGACCAGATGTTCCCTTGATTAGTCAATATTCATTATCATTTGTATTTAAGTATTTCACAAAAAAAAAAAAAAACAATCTTATTTTATTCTTCTAGGACTAAGAAGTTAATAAAACTGAACATTAAAAAAATATTTTTTAATTCCTTAATAAGTTTCTGCGGGCACCTTTACTTAATAAATTCAATGAGATAAAATTTAAATAAGAAAATTTTAATAATACTACAGTGATTATTAATTACTTAATATAAGTATTATCAACAAAATTATTTGAAGTTGGTGTTTTAATTTACGAGTTTTTTTTTTAAGAAAATGTTGAAGTGCAAATTAATCTACACTATTGATAATAATTAGAACTTCAATTCAAAATATGTAGTAATACTTCTTAAAAAAATGTCTACTAATAATCCACTATTACATATATGTGTGGTGATTTTTTTTCTTCAAACATTTGTAGACAAATTATTTGAAAAGACCTATTAAAATATTACACTTATAAAAATGAAATACAAGGAATAGTTATTTTCAATTGTCCTTTACCATTTGCAGTGCTATCATCAGCTTCACGGTCTTCATCACTTTCATCTGTATTATCAGAAGCACTATCAACCTCTTCCTCATCTAAAACATAATCATTGCCTTCACTCTCTTCATCAATATTATCTTTAAGCATTTCTTCTAAGCCTACACCACCACTTTCATTGGTTTGATCAGCATCTTCAGAATCATATTCACTTTCATCATCATCTTCTCCTTCCTCTTCTTCAGCTGGAAAACATACAAAAAATAATAATTTATTAACTTATAATAGAAAAAAAAAATACTGAAATTATAAAAGTATAATATTTATTTTCAAATTTATACATAATAAGTATGTATGATTTTAATAATTATTATTTAAATTATCTAAATTGCATTGAAAAAATTTGTTAGTAAACATATCACTATCACATCAACAAGAACTATTTGGGTCATTCCATTTGAAAGTACCCAACTTGTATGTCACTACACAAACAATGGCTATCACTGTAATATCTTCAAAAACACTAAATATAATTTACCAAATTTCTTTTCAAAAATTTAATGCTATAAATTAAAAAAAATCTTGGTCTACTTCTCCCTTTTTACCTTTTAATCAATATCAACTTAAGAATATTAATTGGAAATATACAGATTTAGTAAGTTTTAAAATTGGAATATAATCTAATGGCTTACAACAAATTTTGAACCATTATTTTAGAGGATATTATTCTTTTGATATCTGGGCACTGCGCAGAATGTCTAATAATAAAAATAATCAGACATGCATTTCACCTACAGCCAACATTTAAGGTGTCATATCTCAAAATTAAGATTTAATATATGAAAAATAGTCATCATTTATTAATTTTTTTACTATATTTTTTTTGTGTCAAATAAATATGAATTACCATTTGAAAAACATAAAAGAATACCCGTTGAAGAGTAAGGAGTTGATTTAACATTTTAAATAATAACAAAATTAGAAAAATGACAACTTATCTATTTAAACAATTTAAATAATTTATAAGGGCACTATAATTATTAGTGACTTCCAGTTTTTTTTTAAATTATTTTTACATATAATTTTTTTTTTTTTGACATTTAAAACTTATGTTATACTTTGCTAATAGTAATATTAGATGGATTTTTATAAATATAATTTATGGCTCTAATATTTACAAATTGCTACATGATATATGACAAACTTCATAAATAAATGTAACTGATTGAAAATTAAAAAAAAATTACTTAACCTTACTTTCTCTAATAAACTTAAAATCTATTAAAAGTTTTGAAGTATTTATTTTATTTTTATGAAAGTCACAGTGCATCAAATTTTTTAATTACAAAAAGTATATTATCCTTTAAAAAAATTTAATTTTCACTGAATTTTTTTTTATGCTATGTTATAATAAATTAATAATATGGTAATATAGTTTTCATAAATCAATATTTACAGACTTTAAGAAAAGAAAATATTTAAACTAATAATAAAAACAATTACCTTCAGATTCAGAATCATCTTCTTCGCCACTATCTGAGCTATTAAAGCTATCATTTTTTCCATTTTTGAGTGAGTCTCTGAAATAAATTAAATTTTTTAATCAAGAAGTATACTTATGTTAATTATATAATATAGAATAATATAATAATAAAACTAAGTTTTGTAGTACAAGGATACTGATTTTTATCATAGAATACCTAAAAAAAAATTAATTAAATAATTTCTCACCCATCAAGGTATTTAAGAGAATTAGCAAATTTTTCTTTTACAAATTCTTTATATCCATCTTCTTTAACCACTTCATTATTAGATAAATCCAAGATTTTAAGACGTGGTAATGTTTGCTAAAAATTATATTAAGTAATAATCGTATTAAAATGTAGTATAGCAAAAGAGTTTAGTAGATTGCTTACATAGTAAAATAATGTAGATATCAATCTTCAAGGTGAAAAATGGAAAAAAACAAAAAAATTTTATGAAGAAAATAATTTTTGGTAATTTTGAGTTCTTTATATTTCTTAATTTAACATTTATTAGTTGTTTTTTAATTCATCCCTTTTAATTTAAAATAGTGTAAGCTTTACTTTTTAAAATGTAAACTTTCATATTTAACTAGCTTATAATATAGAAAATGGCTTAATTAAGAAAATTACTGGTCATAACAGTTTTTGAACCACCAATACCTAAAAAAGTCATTAAAAATTTTATACTTAGGCGAGAAGAAATGTGTATTACCATGGTCTATATTTTAAAATGGTAATAAATTTTGAAAAATAAGTTAAGAGTTGTTATTGATAAGTAATTTTCTTAATGAGGTTATTTCTTTATTATAAGCTATTTAAATAATTGTAAATTTCTATTAAAAAAAACAAAGCAAGCAATTTTTTAAAGTATAAGGGCTGAATTAAAAAGCAATTATTAACTGATAAATTAAGAAATACCAAGAAATTTTTTTTAAACGCAATTGTTATTTTAAAAGAAAAGTGGTTAACATTAAAAGAATCCCATTGAATTTAAGGTATCTACATTGTTTAAATATGTAAACAATCTACTAAAATATGAAAATTAATTTGGTTGCTTAATGCCAAAAAAGTGCCTAACATTAAAAGAATCACCTACATACTATCAACTATTTTAAGTTTTTATTTATGACTTTATTTCAATAAACAAGTTAGTAATTTAATAACTTACAAGAGGTTCAATAGCTTCAAAATCTTTAATTTTATTTTGACTGAGATTCAAAGACTTAAGTCCAATGCAACCAGTTAAATTTTGTAAACTATTGGAAATTCTATTTTCACTGAGATCCAACTACAAATAAATATAAAGAAACAAATATTATTATTTATAAATTTATAAAAAATATATTAATACTTACATAAGTGAGTCTTTTCAAAATAGGAAATCCTTTCAAACTGGTTAAACCCACACTTATTAAACTAAGACTTCTTAGATTTATATATTCATCAGTTAACCCTACTACAGTGGTACTTCGACAATCATCTAATATTAGCTGCATTACCTAAATTATAAATTATGATTTAATTTTACACCAATCAATGATTTATTTACTTATTTTTTTTTTTAGGACTTAATACTTAATGTTTAAATATTTCTAGAACTGAAAGTAAGCAGTGTAACTGAAAATAAGCAGTGTATTTAAATTTATTGCGGTCTACTTTTTACATTTCTATTTAATTATTAACACTATAATATAGAGTTTAACTTTGTTAAAATTTATGAATTAAATTTTAGTTTACACGGTTTGCCATGCTCATATATAATTAAATGATAATATATCATATCAAGTAATTTACATTCTTATTAAATTTTTTAAATTTATTTATTAAACAAATATTTTTGTAGAGATAATATGCAAATGCATCATTGCTAAAACCATAATTGAATTTTGTACCATTTTTATCATAAGAATTGATACTTACTAATGATATTTTAGGAAACATTATTATTAATAAGTTAAATTTAAATTACAAAATAGCTTGTAAGAACCCCATTTTTATATGAATATAGATCTATATAACAAAATGTTTAATATTCTATTTTCTACTACTTGTTATCATTAGTGATAGATCACAGAATTGCACTTGGTTGTACTTGGTAATTGATTTATTATAAGCCACTTGATTACTCGCAAAATAAATACAACAATGGAAAAACAATTTTTGAATTCTTTTAGTTACATATAATTAATTCTTGATTTATCAGCTAATAATTACTTTCAAGAATCATCCCTTATATTGTATACTTTATTTTTGTTAAGTGATAACATACATATTTAATTAGCTTATAAAATAGAAAATTATCTAATTAGAAAAATAACTGGTTGATAACTTTTGGATCAGTATTTTGTTGGAATATGCCCAATGTTTTGCATTGCGCATCTTACATTTATCAATGAAAAATATATAATCTGTATTTTATTTTACAAGTATACAAACAAATAATTAATTTATCTGTCATAACATATATACTGTTGTACACTAGTTATTATATATGTATATATGTGTTAAATTGATTATTGTATACTATGAATCTTATCTTAAAATAATAACTATGTTATGTTCAATTTATTACAATAAACTGAAAATTACTAAGAGCACTGACGACAATATCCCATGATGGGGGCAATAAAAAATAATATAAAAAGGTTTAGTTCTGCTTGCACATATGAAAGAGCTTGCCAGCGAGCGGCTCTTCTCCACTTTTGAAGCTCTGAATTCAATATAGAATTCAGAATTATTTTGTCCCATCTATTCTTCTAAAACTAGCCACAACCCCGTGTTGTTATCGGTAAATTTTAAGACAATATTGAATATAATTATTTTTGCGTCGAGAGTTTATTTATTTATATAAAAGAAACATTATAAATTTCTACGCAAAATCTAGATGATCTTTAGACAAGCTATCTAAAAAGGTAAGTAATTTCATATTAACCCAATTATTTAGAATTAATAATCTGAGTAAAGAATGGTAAAGCAATAGATTTATTTAAAAATCATTTTATTTAATTATTAGTAACTAGTTAGAGCTTAGTTATATACTTCAAGTGGGTGTCTAAGTGGAGGCCTCCGCCACTCCAAGAATAACTCAGCATTTAATATTTCTACGAGAGGAACATAATTAATTTCTTATTATATCTACTATTATAGTATAATAGTAAATTATATAATATTATACTAATATCTATTATATTATTCTTACTATGTTTTTACTGTTCTAAACCCTTAGACTCTGCAACCCTTATAGAACCTCGTTGCTCACAAATTGACCAAATCCACAAATAACCAACCTTGGTCAAAATACCCCGATATCACATAGTTGCATTTTTAACTTTATTTTTGTATTACTACAATTTTGTAAGTTATTAACAATTTAAATTGAATATCTGGAATTGAGGGGCGAGTGCTACTATTTTTATTATTAGTCATTTACCTTTACTCTTTGTCCTGCCTAGGTATAAAAATGAGAATAAAATCTTTTATGTTACCATTTAAAAAAATAAAAGTTGACATCCCTATACATTATAAGAGATGATCCTAAAAAGTATTTAATAGCTAATAAATCAAGAAATATATATAACTAAAAAAAACTAAGAATTTTTCTTTGACTACTGTACATAATTTGAGAGTAATCAAGTGGTTTATGATGAATGAATCAACTGTATATGTTTCTTTTTAAATCTCATTTCAAGGCTAAAATGCATTACTATAACTAAAACTTTTTTTGCGTATTTCACTTTATATTTTTTAGTCATCAAGAAGTTTTTTGCTATACATTTTAAACAACTTTTATTAAATAATAGTCACAAATAACTTCATTATGTCAGATTAATAAAAAAATCATCTAACTCCTTTAACCCAAGTACAAATTATAATAATAGTATTAACAATCTTCAAGCACGTCTTATCAATAATTTGATTTCAAATTACAACTTTTTAATACTTTAAAAAATGTTTTTCAGATTATTTCAAGTTTTTAGTAAAATTATGAGTTAACATAATATGAGATATATTAAAGCATAATATATCATATTTTGAGTTTAAAATTAAATTGGATAGAAAAGATTTTAGTCCGTTTCTTTTTTAGTGATTATCAATTGATGTGAATCGTATTTTATATCATCACACTTTAATTAATTTCATTAGATAATACATAATTCTAAACAATGTAATAACCATAGAATGAGTTTAAATATATTATTATATTAAAAAATGAATATTTGTTCTTTATTTTAAAATATCTAATAAATATTTTCTTTTATAAAACTGATTTTAATGTTATTACACATGGCGTTTATTCACTTTACGTAGTACATCAAGAAAAGTTCTCTTAAATATTTAAAAGAGACACATTTCATAAACATAAAAATAATAGACAAATATCACGATAATTCAAAATTTAAACATGGCCGCCGACCGAATTATCTCCTTCCCCCTTCAATATTCCACTAACTTATAAGTGTACTCTGAACGCACACTAACACACCTGTCTATCCAATCGCCGTCTTCGTTACATCGATAGCTCAATTAAACCGCAACAGTGGCGATAGGGACTATTAAAGTAAATAAAATGAATTGGTCGCAAAACCAATATATTATCTTTTAGAATTATAGTCCTAAACATAAGGACTAGGGATGTTAGCGGTACATTAGATTAACGTTTTATAATTTTAAAAGAAAATGGTTAATAAACTGAAATAAAAAAGAATTAGATACGGAAAAGTACTTCTCGACAGCTACTGGATTTTGTAAATAGTTCAAGTTCAACACGCTGAACGCACGCACGCCGAAATAGCAATCACCTGGTTGAATGCGCGCGCGCGCCGGGTCATTTGCGCTTTTAAATTGCCACAAGACAAAAATTAACGTAACAAAATTTTGGATTATGATCAGGGATGAAAACCATAATAATACATAAAAACAATTAAATTACCTCTTCGGGTTTTCGACCCCGTTTTTCAAGTTCAATTCTTTTTTCCATGTCTAAATGCTTGTGATCCGTTGTGATTGTAATTATTCGACGATCCTAAATGGAAATAGTAAACAGTACAAGAGTTTTTATAAGATTGTTTAATTAATGTCGCGTGAAAAACAAAATTTTTCCTTCGTATAGAGTAAAGCTATGGATCAATTTCAGTACAGCTCAAAAGCGTAAAAAATTTCACTACGACAGTTTAACACAATTAACAAACCGCTGAGAAATTTAAATACGATAATTAATATGGACAATACACACACAATAACTAAATAACCAAAAAATAGGGGGAACGCTCGAACTAAAAGCCTATCGACGCCGCACACAAATAGTAAATACTAGAACACTTAACACAACGTTCACTTGTCACATCACACACACTAACAAAATTTACGCACGACGCGCACACATACGAGCAAAGTACATACCGTCGTGGTGCAGTGCGTGCGTCGGAAACCGCGGCAACGGTTAGCACGACAGTTCATTTGTGGTCACACCGTGGGTTCGTTTTTGATTTAATATTTATACTGTTATCTATTATTGACGAAGTGAATTTATATAAATAGTAAAATTATGAATCATAAATGACAATATTATTAGAGCTACAATTATCAATTAGTGAGAAATATTAGTTAATAAATATACATGATTTCATTTCAAACAATTAATGTTTGATGTTTATTGAAAATTTTATTTTAGTTTAAGCAACAGATTTGAAATTTGAAATAATTCATTATCGTGATATTAAAAATATAATATTTTATAAGTAATTGTATAATTTTTTTTTTTGTATTTTATTAATTATAATTATTAAATTTATAAAATGTATTGAATTTATACACTATCAATTATTTAAATGTTTAAATTTTATTTAACTACAATTAAAAAAAAAAAATTACAGATTAACATGGACGAAGAAAAACTAAGGATTTTAGAAAAATGTATTTCTTTTTTAGAATTAAAAGTTTATGGCTTAAATAATCTCAGCCGAACAGCTTTATCATCTGGAAATTTATCTGATGAAATAACTAAAGTCGAAAATACTATTAGTAATGCTTGTATAGGTCATCCTAATGCTACAGCATTACTTGGTCATGTAAAAATTTTGGATCAGTTAATGGATCCATTCTATGATGATCATCAGTTAGAAACATCAAAGAGAGAAGTTATTCTTTCAGGTGAAACTGATATTATTGAGTATGCACATCAGTTAAAAATTTTAGGACAAAATTGGCCAGCTTTAAATAATAAATCTTATGGTGAATTGGACAAATATACAAAAGATATTGAACATCTTATTGAAAATGAAAGGATACAACGAGATTTAGTAAAAGAACAAACAACGCATTTACATAAATTGTTATTTAGGTAAAAAAAATAAATATTTATTATTTGTAAATTAGGATGCAATATATGATTAATATTTTATATGAATATAGGTATGAACAGTTAATGTTACAATTTTCCTTAGCATTTGAATCATTAGAAAAGGTTATTACGGAGTTGGAATATAAAGTATTAAAGAAAACTGAGGAAGAAAATGAAATATGATTTTTTTTTTAAATTCTTTTGTTAGATATAATGATTAATTAAGATATTGTTACTTAGTAATTATAAATAAATGTATATTTCATTTCCAGAAATTAATAACATTAAATTAAGTTATGAAGTTCTGCATTTTTGTAAAACTATTTAATCTATACTTTTGAATTGTTAATAAAATAAATAAATACAATCAATATTATTTTTATTCTACTTAAAAAAAAACAAGTAGAAGTCTAATTAATAATAAACTAAGTGATTAATTACGACTCATAATATTTTTAAAAGTATCAAACATATATTGGTAATTTCTAAATGTGAATAGTATCCTAAGATCTATGATTTTCAAAAAAAAATATTGTTACTATACTGTTACTACTCTCTTAAAATTGTAACCACTTGTTTTTAAAATGGAAAAATTTATATACTGATTTATGAAAACAATTTAGTTTTAAGGTTATGCGTAAGTCTAGTTTAACATCTAAGTCTAGTTCATCTTATACATAAAAAGTGGCATAATCAAGATTCCTTAATGGGTGTGACAAGCCAAATGAATTAGAGCCCCTTAAATTTTATGTTTTTGTGATTTTTACTTATTAAAAGTAAAATTACTTCCCCCAAATGTAGCATTAAATTTAATGGAGATATGTTTGAAGTATTAATAGATTACATTTTAGATATTTGCTGTTGCTCCATGTACTATTTTCTCTTTTTTTTAAAAAACATCATGACAATCTCTCATTAAAATATTTGTTTTGATTGATTTATGTAACAATGTAATATAAACAAATTTTTGAGAACTTTAATGATTTTGTATATACATATAAAATACATATTATAGAATATTGTATTACAAATACATATTACATATTGTAAAATACATATACATTTTTTATTTGTTATAAAATACACCTAAAGTAAAAATGTGAATTATATTGTCATATTTATTGTGACCATTAACCTATAACCACCCAGTTCTCTAGTATTGGCACACTCCTAATACATAATGATAATATATAAGGTTAACTTAATGATACAATTATATTATAATTGTAACTCAATATATTTTCAATTGAAAATCATTATAGATGTTTTAATATTCAATGTTTATACTCTTTATTTTGTTGAAAATCTGTTGAATTATTAAACATTACTATATATTTTTACACTTAAGACACAAAAAATGAATTTGTTTTAAGAATCAAAAAAATATTTATTTAATAATTCATTGTTAATTATTTTTCATTATATAAATTATAACATTAAATCAATGGTAAAAAAAAATGACTAATAAGTGTACACAATATTAATTGCATAAAAGTATTAATAGAAAAAGTTAATGTTAGGAGGCAATGTACCTTTTAAATTAGCTTTTTCTACATTGAAATTGAATTCACTAAAATCTACATAAGGCAATATTTTTTTAGTTGAACTACTTGATGGATCAGTTGTAGTTGAAGTATTTGTTTCAGTTAAATTTATGGCAGTATCTAGAAACAAAAACATCTTAATTTACAAATTGCTCATAACTAAAATTAGTTTTTAAAGATAATGAACCCTACTGAACAAGTTTGCGAGAAATTTTAAATAAAAATAATTATTAGATTCAAATTTTACCTTGATCATATGAACTATTCCAACTGTGTTGCTGTTCTGTAATAGCGTTTGGCATTGCAAAATTGAAATTACGAACCACTAACATAATATTTGGTCGTATTGCACCAGCAATATTACCTTGTGCTTCATAGGTATCATGATGAATTCTAGCTATATGATCTACAACAGCTTGTGCTACACCCGTTAAAGTCGATTGCACTCTCAACTGTAATAAAGTTATTTAAAAAAAATTAAGTATATTATTCTGACATAAATTATCATAAAAGTAATTGGTGAAATGATAGCGATTTAAGCTGAGTTTAGGGTATTTAATTTAATTTGATTCAACTTCAGAAATGAGTTTTTTTATAAGATTAAAAAATTTTTTTTATAAATATAAACATAATTAATATAAAAGTAAAAAAATTCTAATTACTTGTTCTACAACCAATAATGCCAACTCTTTATTCACTTGATTAGTCCCAGTAGCTTCTTCTAGTATTTTTAAAAGATTAGGAGAAGCAATCATCATAAATCTAAAATAATAATTTAATTGAATCAAAATATTATACAGATTTTATTCATCACATTACTAAAATACTTACCTATATGAAGAATCTATTGGAACTCCACCAATAATATGGGGTTCAGCAATTATTGGTTCAGAACATGCTAGCCTAAGCTCATCATAATCTTTGTATGCTCCTTTAATCATATAATTACAAAGGCATCTTGTAGCTGTTTGATTCCCTATCTTTCTACTACCTTTGCAGTAATACAAAATAAGTAACATATTAATAGTGAAATTGTACAGAAATAAATATGATGGGTACCATTAATTTTTCCATCATTCACTTGTAATCCAAGATTTTTCAACCTAGTGACTTCATCTAAATTATTTAAATTATGATCTTCGCTTAGTTGTACAACTCTTAAAACATTGTCTTGATCAGTTTTGCACAAAAGAACTCTGCTTTCACCCACATTAGCAACAAATAAATGATCATTTTTAAGTATTGCTATAGCAGCTCCAGTACCACAAGATAATTCTTCATTCAACTCTTTTAATTTTTCTATCTAAATTATAGAAAATACATTTATGAATAGTTCATAGATTAATCATATAAATAACTTTTTTTTTTTAAATCTTTAAAGTATTATTATAGCTTAACAAAGATACTAAAAACATTACAATTAGAAATGTCACTAATCAAAGATGTTTTGGTTGTTCAAATAAATAAATAAAGTAAATGTAAATGTTTTAGTTTGTTTAGACATTTTTACAATTGATCATACTTCTATTATAAGTTTATAATTTTCTATCAATTTATAGAATGTTTTTACGATTTTTTATCAAATAAAGTCTTAATGGAAAAAATAATAAAGCTTGATTTAGAAAATTAGCATATAATACAGCTCATGTCAAGAGAATTACTTTTTGATCATTTTTTTTTAAGGAATTGGTTAGAAAATAACACCAAATAATTATACAATAATATTACAAATATAATATAATCTAATATAAACGTGTTCAAATAATTTTAGAATCCTTGCTTTTGAAGAATAAATTTATCACAAAAAATTAAATATAACTTATATGAAAATAAATTAAAAATATTAATTAGTCACAAATAAAAACTTCAAATGTTATTTCTACATACAATTTGTGGATATTGCTGATAAGCATCATAATGGGAAATAGTTTCTGGAAGCTGTAGTTGGAGACTAGCTCGTTGGAGTAGTTTATTGTCAATAGTATCGAGATAAGTTCCTTCTACAGATACAAAACTTTGTCTGTAAATGTATCAAAATATAAAAAATAAAACAAAGTCGGATATATAGACACATCAAAAATAAAATATGACTTACAAAATTAAATCTCTTGTTATTTGATCTAAATCTATAGATGAAAGATTTCCTAGTAAAATTTCAGCTGCAATACGATCCCGAGCAAGCTGAGCAGCTACTACTCCATTATGACCATTAAAAAGACCATATAACCATATAGCTCCATCATCATAGCAACATCTAAGACAAATATCTTCAGATTCAATATCTTCACGTAATTGACCTGTTTCATTATACCTTTGTCGATTTAAGTACCCAACTCCTATTAAATAAGTTTATGGTAAAGTCAAAACAATGATTATTTTTTCTTTTTGTGCATTATTTCACAAATAATTACTTTGAAAATTAGATTTTTTTGTAAGTTATATTAATGTAAATTATATTAATAGATAAGTACTTTTAGATAAGAAAAAATTACTTTAGAGTTATAAAAAAATAATGTATTAAGTTTTAAATTATTAAAATGAGTAGTGAGAAAATATTTTTTATTAGTTTTTAAAAATTTGCTTTTAATTTATAATACGTATTAAAATTTACCTGAAACTTTACAAATAGGAAGATCTTCTGTCCAACTACGAGTGTAGTTAAATAATAACTTTGTATATTCTGGACCTCCTTCTGCTATGGTAGGCATATTGAACTTTAAAGAAGAGAGATTACATCATAATAAAAATATCTGAGAAAAATATTTCGTATTTAACACAAAATAATTAAGTTTTATAAAATAAAGTTAAAAAATATATTTCCTTGAAAAGTGAAATATTAATTATTATATAAAAATTATCATTTTAAATCAATTAAAATTGATAAGAACATATGTTAATTCGCAGACGTAAATGTTTTATTATACCAGTGAAGCATTTTTAATAAATTTTAAAGGAGTTTTGAAAATTTTGTTTAGGAAAGATAGTAAAATTGTTTTTATTTTACCCCTACCCTTGAAATGAATAGACTCTTGAATTCTAGTTATTTAAATACAAATAAGTCATTAATATAGTTTGTTGTATAATTCCTTTCAAAAATTGTTTAGTTGCGTAACTGGTATAGTACACATTAGTTTAGGTCTTGACTCAGGAGGTGATAATTTGATTCGAGAACCCCCTTTAAATACTTCTCTATATTATACTATATATCTATAGTTAAGTCTCACATAATTGTAAAACAAAGGCGAAGGGCTATTTGAATCAAAAAAACACTTTTCAGAAAAATAATCTATGTACTTTCAAGTCCCTATACATCTCTTAGTGTGGAGGAGTTTGCCTCCAATAATCTGCATTCTGACAAATATCAGGAAATGACTTCCCCCTATTATTATAACTCTTGATAATAATCTATAAATAAAGTACATTAAAAAAAAATGTTGGTTATTAAGTGAAATATATATATATATATATAACATAAAATGATTGGGTTTTGATCTATGGTCTGTCGTTTTTACTAAAATGTATGCGATAATGTTTAATTGTAAGAATGATACGTTTGTGCAATAGAATAATATGTAGCCGTTATTATCAAAATTGATATAATTGCAAACGCCGGTCAGTTGTTAAATATATGGAGGTCAATTTTTGAAGATATGCGATACGTAGTCACAGACGATACATTTACCGAGTATGATAAAGTTTTAACAGTAATGATAAATAATTTCTATTCTTAACGGATTCTATAATTTTTTATAATTTATCGAATTTTATAAAAATATAACACGTAAACTATTATGATCACGCCGTAATTAGCGTTACAATTTTTAAATATGGCCCATTAATTTTAAGAAAACTTGCCTCGTGATAAACATTTTCAGTCAATCGCAAAAAAAATTACCCTTTCAAATGTTTTAATGATTCTCACAAATAAGGAGGGCTTACCTTCCTGGTCAAACATGGTCAAAAACATGATTAATGAACTTAGGATTTAATTTTTTCTATTAACCGACTTAATTTTGCCTTATCTAAAATAGAATTACCTCTAAAACTTTTCAAAAGTTTAGTTTTGATTTCATAAAAGTATGACGATTTTCTGGGCATTCCAATAATTTATTAAGTCGATTAAAATAAGAAAAATAATTTTTCTTCAGGTCATTATTTTAATCAATTTAAAAATATAATATCAATTATATTATTATATTCAAACTACATAAAACATAATAATAATATTTAGGTTAAAAAAAAGAACTGATATGCTAAATAAACACGCCAAGCAAAACAATAGGATAAAAATCTGGGCAAAAAATGGTATAATATCACATTACCTAATCGTCTATTTAAAATTTTATTTTAACTTATATTTACTTCATTTTTAATATTCTACCCAGTTCTCGAATTGGCCAAAAATAAGTAGGGGAACTTAACTTAACAATTTGAAAACTGCGTCCCTAGCATTTTGAAGACCTTTTTTTTTTTTTTACTCATTACTTTATTTAGTATTTATTAATAAATCATATTTCATTATCATAATATTTAAAAAAAAAAAAGAGGTGGTATTTTCCACCGTCCTCCTGTCACAATAAAAAAAAGTAGAGGAGCTACGTCCCCCTGCGCACCATCCCAATTCGAGCACTGATTCTACCTGTTTTAACATAAGCTATAGGGGGTATACCAGTTCAATACAATGAGGAAGAGACAAGGGATGATCGAGATAAGTGGGAAGGGAATCTTTAAGTTGATATGACTAGCAACATTAAATGTTTCTCATTAAAAAAAAACTTCGTTTTGCTGATTATATAAATATTAATATTGGAATTATATGGTTCGGGAATTTATGCATTTATGAAGTTTATTTTATTGTCATCCTAAGTACATAATAAATAGAACTTTATGTTTGTTTTTCTTAATTCTAATGAAAGTTTATTAAACACAAATTTAGCTATAAGAAGTATGGGAGGATCATTCTACTTTTGAACAAAAAATGTCCCTATAAATCTTTATAACAATGTTGAATTTTGATGAGTGGGGTATATCAGAAGTGGTTCACACAAATTTTATAAATGTATTAAGCCCAAAATCCTAGTGGCTATTCATATATGTAGTAATTAAACTTTTATTTAAATCATACTTTTTTCGAATGAAAATCTGTTTCAAATCATGGAACACTATCAATAAATGAAAAAACCCAGCACAGTGGGGTCGCGGCATAGTGGGGATGTTGCATAGTTGGGTCCAGTATAGATTTAATCTGACAGTGATTAAAATCACTATCATAAGAAACGCTTCGATGCAAATCAGTAGATAGTGTTTAATTCTAAGAAATTGGTGGATAATTACAAAAGCTACATTATCTGCTAGTTTCTTATTAATACCCTGATTAAGATAAAGTATGTCGAATGAAAAAGGGATTATTAAAAAATATTATTTCTCATAAAAAAATTGTGTTGATTCGTACACTTTTCAATGAGTTATAGCATTATAAAGTTAAAAATGTAACCAACCCAACCCAACATCAACTCCTATTTCCTTAATTATATCCAGATTAGTAATTATTTTAATTATATATTATATAATTTTTATAATTAATTATTTTCAAATTATTATTGATTTTTAATATGTTAAAAGTAATCATTTTGAACCTACTTCTTTTTGTTCTTTAAAGTGAAAGTTTTAATAAAAAAAAAATGAATTTATTACCATAACTTTTAACTCAACTTGCAAGTTTGAAATAAATATTATTAAATAGAAAAAAATGAAATTGGTAGATTATTTCAAAAACAACAATAACACTTATTCCCTTAATTTTACCCCGATTTATAACTATAATATATGAATACATAATAATTACAGTAATTAAATTGAGTATGAAAGTGGTATTCAATAATATAATATTGTAATTTTTACGGAGATATTATAAAAATAAAAAGGAGTTGTATATTCATATACTTTTAATGCGTATACAAATTTAAAGGAATTTATGCAATACTTTTTAATAAAAAAATTTTGTTACTTATGAATAAATACACTAAACAAAAGGAACTTTCATCAGAAAAAAAATATACTTTTCTAAATAAACTTTTCGTGATGTTTTCAAATGTGCAATTAAACTTTTTCTATTACTTCTAAGTTTTAATATTATTACTTATTATTAAAAAATAAGTATTTACATATAAAAAAAAATAATTAAGAACAAAAAAAATTGTATTAAATTAATACTGATTTTGATTTTTAATATGTTAAAGGTAATCATTTTGAACCTATTTTTTATTGTCTTTTAAAGTGAAAGTTTTAATGAAAAATACCTTCTCAGCTTCGCATCGAAGCTAAAAAATGAATTTGTTACCATAACTTATAGTTCAACTTGCAAGTTTGAAATTGACATTATTAAATTGAAAAAAATGAAATTTTTAAGATTAATATGCAATCTGGAAATTTTATAATTACTA